GAGTTAGTTTACACAATCTAATCTGCCACCTAATGAGAACATAACTGGCAGATCCAATGTCTGCACAGCGTGATTTACTATCAGCTCAAGTACAGAGATACAGCTGGGCACAGGAAGGGCAGTTCTGTATCACCTTTGTCTCTGTAGGAACAGTGGAGAAAATACTGAACAATCCAAGTACTCACTGTCTAGCAACACGAGTCTACAACCTCCTGGGATTCATTAGGCCTGTCCCATTTCCATTGGCTCCAGACTACTATTGCTCAGTTTAAGAGTACACATACATTTGTAGGGAGTTTAGCCTAGGGCCTGAGATGCACAAACCAATGTTCTGACCATTAGGACATCCAATTAGTTTGAACTGAAGGGATGAAAACACATACAAGCTAGATTTATAAATAAGGAGTTTGGAAATCTGATCTCCCCAGTTCTGCCACAACTCCTCTGCCACAGATTCCTTATGGCCTTTGCCAGTTACTTAATCTTTCACCTGCTGAGCACAATGAACACTCTGATGACCTCACCAGGAGAAGGACAAAGTAGTCCAGAGGATGATCCTGTGCACAAGCTGAAGCAAACCAGTTTACTGAGGACACCTGATGCAGCACCTTAGTCAGACTGCCAGAGCTGTGAGGAAGGGAACATAAGCCTCTCACATGATCAGCTGTTACCCTCCCCGTGGCTGCATGCACAAGTGGTCCTCTTCCTTATCAAACAGCAGCAACTCATCTACCAAACTAACAGCAAAACATATTTACCTTCTCTAAAGGCATTTAAAAAACCACCACCAAAAGCATGAGAAAAGTATTAAAATCAGCATTTATTATCAGTCCCTTTGCTCTCAGTGAGGCATTTCCCTGGGGAGGAACAAAGTTAAACCCCTCATTTCTGCTCTTCTTATTCGCAAATGCCATTTTTACACAGAACCCAGGAAGCTTACCTACTCTTGTAGAAAAAAAATATGTTTACTTGACAAAAAACAGACAGTAAGAAAGCGCATCAGAAGAACCACCCAACAATGAGAATCAAAGTTCAGCCCTTATGGTGAAAAAGCATCAATAATGTTTTTCTAAAGGCATAAAGAGACAGTGGGTACGTTAATGAACCAGGCCAGGAACTGGGAGACAGGACTGGGCACAGAAGCCAGAAGTTCTGTTACTAATTTGATATGTGACATCAGATAAACAACTTCACTCCCTCTCAGTCTCAGCTTACACTTTGGTAAACCAGTAATGATAAAATTACCTACCTCACTACATGGGTGGAGAGCACTTTACTAATTCATGACTACAAAGCAACTTGAGAACAGTGAATATAAAGCTTGTGCATATACACACATACATAAATTAAAATACACATGTATTACATTTAAAAATTAAAAACAAATTAGAAGAGAAATAAAACACATTACCCAAAAGCTCCAGTCAGCACTCCAGCTATACTGAGCAGGACCCTGCATTTTCTCTGTGCACGAATTAAGAGCCTCCTCTGAATCAGCAAGTAGCTGGTTAATAAGACCATGATCCACTTCATGAACTTCCTGTGAACAAAGAAGTAAGGTATGTAATTCAGCAGTGGTGGAGAAAGGTGAAATAAGAGGACGGCAAATCTGTATATTAAACAAAATTGGCATGCTGGTCTCACCAAGGTGAGTGGCATTGAAACACTTCCCACTGACAACCTTTTGACTGACTTTTTTTTTCTGGAATATACTATATTTAATTATTACTTACATTTTTATCAAAGTATTTAATTTCCACAGCAGCCCCTCAGCTTGCACATTGAAGCTGCACAGATACTTAGAACTGAAATAATATCAACATGAGACATCAGCGTGTAACATGCAGCACATCTCAGGAACCTGTGAGACCTCTCGAAACTTGAGAATGGTCATACAGCTGTAGCACTTTTACCACAGGAGTGATATATATTATTATAATAATGATACATCAAATATTTATACTTACACTATAAATTGTACATTTTGTTATATATAAATACAAGCACAACATTTTAGAGGCACACAGTTGGACTCGTATCACTTAGATAGTAAGTAGCACTGTATTCTAATTCTGTAGCACTGTCTCTTGGTATCAGTATTCTTCGCTTTGAAGGTCAGTTTTACTTCATGAAGGCAAACGGAGCCACAAAAAGTCACTCGTCCCAACTCACCCAGCAAACGGTACCAAACCAGCCCAGGGCCCTAACCAGTAACACCGCCTGTACTACCGGATCCGCCGGGATGAGACAACGCTGAGTTCCGAGTCCAAACCGACTCAACCCCGAGCTGGCGATGGGACACCCACGCCCCCGCAGCCAGCCCGGGCTGCGCACACCCGCTCAGCGCTCCCGGGGCTGCAGCCGAGCCCGCGGCCCAGGCAGGGGACACGCTCCGGGGCGGACAGCGGGGACAGCGGCAGGGACGCTCCGGGATATGTGGCTGAGAGCAGGGCTGCCCCCCGGGGGGGGTTTCCACGCAAACACCCGGAATGGCTACAACCTCCACCAGTTGCTACCCGCCCGCTCCCGACCCACCATAACGCCGGAGCTCCGCGGCCGCCTCCCCGCTGGGTGTCCCCCCGGCGGCTCCCGGGAGCCCAGACCCTCCCTGCGGAGACGCGGCGGGGCGCTCGCCGCCCATCCTCACCGAGGGCCACCACTCCCACCCCCCTCCCCCGTAAAAACAAAAACCAAAAAACTTCGGTGGGAAGGGGGTAGGGGCGGCGGCGGCGCTTCCCAGCGCTGCCCGCGGGGCCGCCCCGCCACTACCCGTGCGGGGCCCGCCCGCGCGGCTCCCCAGGGGCAGGAGCGGGGCTGTCGCCCCCCGCACCTACCTGCGCGGCCCGGGGGGCGGCGGGGCCCGCCGGAGGGGCGGGCGGGGAGCGCGCAGAGCGCGGCGCTTACCATGGAGGGGGGCGAGGGCGGCGCGGCGCCCGCCGGCTACCTCCTCCGCGGGGCGCACGGCGGGGCCGCGGCCGCCATTTAAAGGGGCCGGCGCCGGCCGCGCCGCCGGCCCGCGGCTGCAGGAGGTTGCCAAGGGCGAGCGGCAACGCCGCTCCGGGGAGCGGGGGCTGGCATGGGGGGCGGAGAGGGCGGTGGCGCCTCCCAGCCGGCCCCCGGCCGGCCCCGGCGACCCCTCTGCGCCTTCCACAAGAGTTAACTGGGAGCCGGCCGAAAGTTTGAGGACTGTGGCAGGAAGAACTCCCGGCAGCGGGGGGGGCGGGGGGGGCGTTCAGTGCCTCCTTCCCCGGGGATTGCCCCGTGCGCGCAGCCCCGGCTGTGGGTTCGACTGCGCTCGGGCAGCAAAAGGGTTCCCAAATCCTAAATTCCTGGGATTCGACGGGAAACAGCGCCGGGAGGCCGCTCCGAGGGGACACGTATGGGGAAAGAGGGAAGGCTGGCTGCGGGCTCAGCCGAGGATGAGGTGACGATGCGGGAATGGTTCATCTCTGAAAACCCAGGGTTTCGTTTCTGAATCTGCTGAGCAGCGCCAAGTGGTTTCTGCCCCAAGCTGTGAGCACACGGAGGTTTGGAAAGCCGGGGTCCGTCTTAGACAGCACTAAACGACGCCTCCGAAGTCAGGGGACCCAACCAGTGAGATGATGGCTCGCAGATTTGTGCCGTCAAGTCACTTTACAGGAGAAAAAAAAGCCCTGTGAGGTGCAAAGAAATCTCCACCTTGCTGAGTGGCTACCTAGTAGGTGATGAAAAGCGAGGCATGGATGGATGGATGGATGGATGGATGGATGGATGGATGGATGGATGGATGGATGGATGGATGGATGGCCAAGGGAAGGAGAGGGTAGAGCAGGCTATTGTGACATCACTGTTTCTTCCTGCTGTCCCCTTTCTCTCCACCGATTTCCCTGAAAGTGTGTGAAGGCTCTCCCTGAAAGGACATCTCAGGGCCCTACCGATATCTACCCTCTGATACATTAGCAAAGGTGCCAGTGGCTGATGTCCCCTCCCAGCTGTTGCCCCCGACAGGACAGCTTCACTGCATGACACTGAGTTTCCAAAATTTACAAGGAAGTGTGAAAAAGAATGTGTGATTTGTTTCATTTTTGTTCCTTGGTGTCTTGATTTGGACCTCTAAAACTCATTTTTTTCCCCATGCTTTTCTCAACAACAATCTGTGTACCAAGTTTACTTTTTATTTTGCCCAAAAATTGAGATTCTCTTAGGATGGGATTGGGTTATCCGAGTGGTAGAAGCTCCATTTTCAACTGCCGGCTGCCAGTGACACTAAACCTCCTTTGTATTCCCTCGGTTAAAAGCTGACTGATCTGGCAGTTTTGCTCAGGCACAGACCTATTGAATGGAGGATTCACAAGAGAATTGCTATTACAGGATGAAGTGAACATAGAAAACATTTGCAGGAACAATGGTAGAATGTCCATCACAACACACTTGAAGGGTTTTTTTGAAGCACACCAAATACTTGGGTTTAAATCAGACACTGTTTGAATTGCCTTTGGTCCACCTCCATCTTACCACACTGACTTCTCTGACATGCAGTCATCACCAGTACTCTAAGCTCGGTAACTTGGTCCCAATTCCTCTTCATCTACCAAATGCCTTTGACTCTAGTGGTTATTCTCTCCTCAAACTCTGGATCATTTCTGACTCCTCTAATTTTTTCCTTTCATGGATAATTTGGTTTTGCTCAGTAACACTTTGGCAGTACTTCCTTCAGAAGACCCCCACAAACCTCCTTCTAGCTTTCTTTTGAAGTGCTATGTTGGTCTGCACTTGATCCCAGTTCCTGTCTTAATACTTCACTTTGAAGTGATTCCTGCCTGGTGATCCTAGATCTTCCCACTCTTCCAAGCTATTTCAGAAAAGTATTTGCCCTCCAGGTTCCTTTAACTATACTCCCTCTAGCCTATCCTGCTTTTGCTGATACTACTGCTTTGGTGTCAGCACACAAACTGGTGACTACAGGAATGAATTGTTCCTCTTAATATTGTTTGGTCAACAAAGTTTTTCAAATCAGCTGTGGGTCCTTTTTGCTTTCAAATGCAAAGAAAAGCAGAAATACTCATGCCTCTCTCAGCTGAATTGTGGTTTGTATGTGTTTGAAGAGATAGGGAATTGAGTTTTTACTGGGTACTCAATTCCACTACCTGGAGAGTTTTAAAGATACACAAGATCATTAGACAAAATGTGCAGTAATCCCTAGTCCTGTAGCTGAGGGAAGAGGTGTCAGCCAGCTACTGGGAGTGGCACATGCTCCGTACAGGGGTACACTGCTGGAGGGGCTGGATGGTACAGGTAGGGTTTGGAGCTGCTGCAGCTCTTCCCACGAAGTCATGCTCCACAAAGTGTGCCTCATGCAAACCCAGACTCTGTTTCAGAGTACACCTGCTGGTTTTGGAGATAGACCACCTGCTTCAGCAGTTTTCCCCTCTACCCAGGTGGCATGGATGAGCTCTACTTAAACAAAGTTTAAATAATCAACTTTTGATGAAAACGGATTTGTTCTGCACTGGAAAGAATACTTTGGGGAACACATTTTACCTGTAAACACTATATGCACATAGTCACAAAAATATTGAATTCCTGAAACTTCCTTTTGTGGTGCATTAGGGTGATAGGAGTTCAGCTGCTCAGAAAATTAATCAACGTTCTTTCTCTTCTCGGCTCCGCTTACTTGGGAGGGCTTCAGCAGAAGAAAGGTCTCCTTTGGAGTATCTGGATACTCTGTATTCAAACCAAAGTTGTGCTTTGTACAAGGCTAAAGTGAAAAACAATGTATTATCTTTCCTCTGCTCTCAGAGCATTTTCGACATCATCTCAGAGGGAGCTCAGAACAGCCCCCGGGGAAGTCATTGTTGTCACTTCAAACGTGGCTGTCACCCAGGCAGCAGGCAGAGCACTGCGAGCTCAAAGCTGTGGTAACTTTAGTAAGTGTGACATTCACTGGGCAGAATGTGAGGTCCTGTTGCTACAATACACACATATTTTTTGCCCTTACGACCAGAGGGAGAGACAGTGGGGCCATATACTTCAGCAACTATGATCCAGCACATTGGGAAGCTCTATAGGTCTGCAGTGTCTTCATTCCTCTTCTTCTTGGTGGTGGGTGAGTACTAAACCTTAATTAGAAGAAACATAGCTTATTCCTAAAGTTTGGCTTGAAAGGCACTCTTCTATTTTTCAAAAAGCAACTTTCCGCTGAAGGTTTCCTCAGGTTGTAGGGAAACAGTATTTAGTGTTGTTCATTGCATTAAAACATACTTTTCTTTTTAGATACATTCCTGTTTAGCTAACATAAATGTTCAGAAAGAGTGTATTTGCCTGTCTTTTTCAAAATGTGTATCATCATTGCTAGAAGTTTCTTTGCTGTTTCGGTTCTCTGATGTATTAGCAACCAGTTATTGTCACAAGGTAGTTATTCATATCCATTTGTGAAGCTAACTTCAGTCCAGGG